TGCGCGATTTCATTTTGAAATGACTTCGATTCTCATTTAATTTTACGAGACGACTGTATCACAAACGCTTTCTTCTGTGAGTTTACCAGTGACGAGAATCAGCCAACGAGATCAAAGCCAAACCAGGTCCTCAACACCGACCTGTTCGAAAAAAAGGCTCGCATTCTCGTGGTGTGAAGTATTTTCGGTTCAAGCAAGACGACGAGGGTCAGTCTAATGTGATTTTGCAGCATGCTTTGCCTCGTTCGCACGCACCCAAGGTAACATACCACCAAATCTTTACAGCACCTCAAACGTCACCCCACAATTGCAATCATGATCCAAGCCGTACACAGGCCAAGAGATTCGAAAGTGTCCAAGCACAGCCAGACATCTACACCGGACACCTTGACAATGCACGCATACCCACTAATCCAGTAGAGTAAGGAAATAACAGAACATTGGCTGTTTTCAGTTAGCCGTTTAGAGCCATGTTCAGGGCCATATTCAGCGCAGTCCGTTTTTGGTAACATACTTGAATGGCCAGTTGAATGTTAATTATCTAAATGGCCAGTATGCACTTTATTTTCTTTATTCATTGAAGCCTATGTTTACAGGCTTGTGGCGATGTGCAATGTGCTATAGGTGCCAATAAAATCCATGTTTGGTACTGTCAATTTGTTTTGTTTTGTCATGGTTCATGTGTGCAATCAACTTCGTGAGAAAAAAAAATCGTGGCAGAGAATCGTGATATCAATTCTAAGCTAAAAAATCGTGATTCATATTTTTCCCCCGAATCGTGCAGGCCTACACAGCAGCCAATTCTGGACTCTTCCAATTATAAAAACAATATGTTGGCATTAGATTTATCCGATAGCTGATGGATTTCCCAACTCAATGTTTAAATTCATTATAAATCAGAAAAAAACACTGATATGTACCATTAAGTCTTTGAATTTGAGCATTTCAGTGTAAGAATAATCAAATGACCTACAATTATCCGTTTTTTTGCCCATTTTATTCTTGACAATGGAGAAAAACAGACACTCACTTCCCATTCTTTTAATAAGCGCTTGAATCTGTGGCGGTAAACAACGCTGAAAGGTTCATATTCTCATTTTTTCAGTTCACCAAAATAATGATCCAGCAAATCACTCTAATCCTCATCACAGACAGACATCACGACACTGAATAATTAAAGTATATTCTCCCTTTGTCGCCGTCTTCTCCTTTTAGCTCTCCGTCTAGCCCTTTTCTCTGTTTAGGAGGCACTTTGTCTCACTCTCTGACCTGTCTTTCCCACTCCCTCTCTTGTCTGCTGCTACATCTCTCCTTTCAAACCCTCCTCCCATCATGCCTCATTAGCGTGAGCTGTGATTACCCCCGTCTCACTGATCAAAGGGGAAATCGTAGACTACACTTAATAATTGATGCTCTCAAATAGCTTATCATTTGACTTCACTGCTTATCATCCTTCCAATAACTCCTCTTCCTTTTCAATCTCTCTCCCCCCCCCTTTTTTTTATGAATCTCCACTGCATGCTGAGCCTCTACATGCACACTCCAGATTCATTTTCTAGATAATTTCTTTTAATGGACGAATAAATCACTAGGTGGCAGCATAGTAACACATGGTGCATACATTGACAGAGCAGGATACTGGTATATACTGTACATGAACTGCACAGACTGTGTCATGTGGGCTGCTAATAGGATTGAGTGTGACAGGCTTGATCCCGGATCAGCGAAGATGTGGAATTACTGCTGCACACGTTCATCATTTACCTCTTCAATTCTAATTACCCGATCAATAAGCTCCAGGTTTGACTCCAGATCAATTGAAATAATGTTCCCTTGACCCATTAATGACCTTTTAAAAGCGTATCGGTGCTTTGCCAAGTCAGTTAACCTTCACTGTCTCGCGGTTAATGAGGAGGTCAGCCCCAAAAACAATTATAGTCCAGCTGAAATCCCTCTTTTTGTAGTCAAGAATGAAAGGTTTATGATTTTTTTGGAGAGATTGAAGAAAACAGGAGATTTACAAAGTAAATATTGATGCTGTAGCTGTCAAATAAGATTTAATTTTAGTGTGTGTGTTCTCAAACATGAGGCATTCAGAAAAAGTGTACATAGTTTGTTTTTCTCTATGCAATTCAAGTCATCGCTGATCACAATGCCACTAAAAAAAGCACAAGACTATCTCAGTGATGGAAAAAGAGACATTAACTTATGTAATGATTGTGTGAATGTAAGGATCCCCACCACCACCACCACCACGGAAATAGCTGCTAACTGACATCTGTGAATGCTCTCATGACTCATTTTTAATATTTGTGTGTAGGCTTAATTTAAGATCTGATGTAACCCTTCCTTGTGCTGGTTTAGAGTGTTAGTGTGTGTGTGTCTGTGTCTGTGTAGGAGCCTGGTTGGGTTGTGGGTGGTGAGAACATGAATGACAGCGAGATTAGGACTGGGATTCAGGCATTTCCCATCTGAGATTTGTGTCACTGAGTTTGTCTCATAACAGCAGGCGGGCTTCTTTGATTATGTAGTTTATAATGATGATGATGATGATGATGATGATGATGATGATGATGATGGTGATTTAGTTTGGCATTTTGGGCAAGATGATTCTTTGTTTTCTTACTGAGAGTTAGGCGAGAAGATCAGTACCACCCTTCACGTTTGTATGGTCAATATGAAGCTACTGCTAGCAGCTAGTTAGCTTAGCTTAGCTTAGCTTAGCGTAAAGACAAGGGAAACAAACATATAGATTGGATATAGGTATACAAATCATAATTATTAAGTCATTCACAAAAAAATACTAATACTCTTAGTATGTACAAAATAATTTACAAGGGAAATATAAATGATAATAAATAGAAAATATTAGGCTACAATCATCTTTTCAATGTATTATTTAACAAATATTATCTTAAAAATAAATAAATAGTTTCACATATCTGGGGGGAAAGAATCCTCACTCGCTTTCTTGCAGAGCGTTACGTTAGTTAGAAGATGGATGGAGCAGGAGCCAGCAACTGGTTAGCTTAGCTTAGCATAACACCTGTAGACAGGGGCCTGACAGCTATTCAACCAAACAGCACCTCTAAAGCTCTCTAGGTAACATGTTATAGCTCCTTTTGTTTAATTAGTACCAAAACCAATGTGTTTAAATGACAGTTTGCTGTCGTACGGGGGATTTACTTCCTGGAATCTCCGCTGGTTACCTAGCAACTGCCTGTAAAGCGATGAATTCCTGTTTTTACACTTTGGAGTAAAAAGTAAAAGTAAGATATAACTTGTAAATTATTGAGCTTCAGAAGTGCTGGAACGCGGACTTGGTCACCTTTGGACAGAGCCAGGCAAGCTGTTTCTCCCTGTTGACATTCTTAATGTTGTGCTAAGATAGCTATCTTCTGGTGGTAGCTTATCATATTTATCCGTACAGACACGAGAGTGGGATCGATCTTCTCATCTAACTCCCGCAAAGAAAGCAAATACACATGCTTTCCAAAGATCTGGCCATTGAAGCGGCCATGTAGTAACTGCTGGAAATTAATCAGAAACAACCACAAACTCCAACATATGGACCTAATGAATAGAGCGGGACCACAGTTTTTATTATCTGTATGACTAATGCTGCTGAATTTACAAAACAACTGAATAATGTGTATTTTTCCCTGCTAACAGCAGTGTGTGAACACAAAAGCAGAAGCAATGCATTAGGTGCACATTATTAAGGAGATAAATATAGGGGTGCTAGGACAACCGCTTGTGAAAGATGAGTACAGGATGTGCGACAGTATGTTCGCATTTGTATGATGATAATGACGGCGCCGTAATTTGCCCTCAGTTTGATACGTAACACGGAGCTGTTAATTATCTCTTTGTTATCAGTTTCCTTTTTGGTTTTTTATTCTGATTGCTGCTCCCGCTGTGCACCGCTTGGATGGGAAAGAGAGGAAATTTGACAACCTGTAAAGCAGCTCCCTGGAAGAGCATGAAGGAAGTGTGTTGTCTGTGGAGAGGGGGGAGAGAGAGGGAGCGAGACAGCTTCATTCCTCCTCTTTTTGTGACTCATCACTCTCTCCTGGCTTTCCAGATTTGGGGAATACTGTGATTTCCTTTTGGGGGTTTTGTGAGCGCTTGATCTACCTCTTGCTGCAGGTATGACAATCACCTTATCACCAAATAGAGCGATAGAGCTGCTCTTCTTGGTTTTATATCACTGTAAACTGCATTTGGGTTTGTTGGACACAAAAATAAAGACACCTGAAGACATCACCTTGGATTCTAGGGAACTGGGATTGACATGTTTCGCAGTGTTTGACAGTTTATCGAGAGGAAGACTCGATAAGCTGCAGCACGACGTGTGTTTTCTTAGTTTTTATTTAAAAAAGCGTCTTCTGTTCAGATGTATTTTTGTCCTTGGTCATCCTCCTCCCTCCCTCCGCTCCATCCCTTAGCCCTTCCTTCTCCACCGTTGCCAAGGGCAACCAGAGGAAAGAACCGAATACAGTAACACTATCACCTGATCGGTGGGGGGGTTGGTGGTGGTGGTGGTGGTGGTGGTGGTGGTGGGGGGGGAATCCAGCAGGT